GTTTAGGGTTTCAGCTGCAGGGGGCTTAAAGCAGAGTCTAGGGTTTAGGGTTTAGGGTGTAGGGTTTAGGGCTTAAGGGGTTTAGGGCTTCAGGGGTTTAGGGTGTAGGGTTTAGGGTTTAGGGCTGCGGGGGTTTAGGGTTACTATACGGGTTACATATGGGGGGCCGGGGGAGTACTTTTAGACTGAACTATACTACACAGGTCATGATTGAGGTTTATGAGTTTATGAAGGTTCGTCTTCGAAGGCTACGGCTTCTCGTCTCGACTTTTGACGACGTGGGGCTCGGGGTTCCTGGTCTACAGCTCAATACTAGGCTCAATACGGTTGATGATATAAATCCTTAGCATTACCCATGATGAGGAATGTACCATAATTCCCATTTAGGGTACTTAAGGTAATGCACCAAACCCCAGGGTTCAGGGTTTAACCCAAAACCAAAACAGGCTGGACCGGTCCGGCAGCACGCTCCGCGATGAAGGAAGTCTCGTCCACTTCCGGCTGGGGCGGCGCGGGAGGCAGCCACCAGGATCGGCGCCTGACGGAGGGCGGAAGATGGACAAATTCGGCCTTCCTCCCAAGCTTGGTAGAATGTAGGGATTAAGGTTTAGGGTTTTAAGGTTTCGTTTAAGGTTTAGGGTTTAGGGTCATATGGGTAGCTCTCTAAGCTAGGGTCCCCTTTTTAAAGTCCCAAATATAGTACGGCACCCCAATAAAGAGGACCCTAATTCCTCCCAAACTCTACATCATGAGCACTTTAAAGCAAAGTCGTTGTACACGAAATCCTCCTGAACTCCAAACCTCAAAGCTCAAGCATTGCAAAGACATCTGCGATGGCTCAAAAGGTTTTTTGACCTCAAGCCTCCGATTCACTTCAGCCGCACCCCGCAGCGCTGCCACCTGGAACGAGTGGACGCTTAGCATTCTCTCTGGATTCTTGAGAATCCCAGAGAGCCCGATATGCCCCTTAAATAAAGAAGATGGCTCAAATAAAAGGGGGCCTTAATATACTCCCGAGAGCCCGATATACCCCTTAAATAAGGAAGATGGCTTAAACAAAAGGGGCCTTAATATACTCCCCCGCCTGTCGGCTTCTCTGTCAACCTGGGCCTCTGCACCTAGCCCCCTACCCCTCACAATTCTCCACGTGTCCACCTGTTTTCCTTTCGGAGATGCATTGAAGCAAGGCTAGGCACACATATGTTCGCCGCAGTTCTGGCTCTGGCTCCCTCGCACCTGGTGCTGCGCGAGCATCTGGTGCTGGTCCGAAGATGCATGCGGAACGTCCAAAACACCTCGGGCATCGGTTCGGGCTCAGAGTTCAGAGTAAAGAGACGCCACCAGAAAGTCTCGTCGAGATGCGGATGGTGGGATCCAGGACCCACTTCTTTCCCACGCTGTCCCACCATTGCCACGGCTGCGATGCGACTAGAAGCGGTCCCGCACCCCTTTGGTGCGGATCCTGCTTTGCAGCTAAAGCATCCAAAGCTTACAGGACCTACTGTAAGGGATCTATATCACGAGGTTCTGTCAGGGCTGGATTGTAGCAACCCGTCCTGAGGTGCAGTTTGGTAGAGAAAGCAGCGGTTCCAGTCAAACTCCCGCAGCCGCGCTTCTTTGCCACCAATACACCAATGCCCGAGCCTGATGTTGCCGACTGCCAAAGCAGGGGCATCGAAAAGCCGAAATTCAGATGGGTAGTTCTCTAAACCAGGGTCCCCTTCTAGGTCCCCAAGATAGTACGGCACCCCTTTAAAACGGACCCTAAAAGGGATCTTAATTTAGAGAACTACCCACAGAGATGAAGACTAAGACTGCAAGCCAGCAGCTTGTTTTGGTAGAGCCAGGCTTCGTGCACACCCGTTTTCTTCCACAGTGGCTGCTCGTTGGCTTTGTCCTGGACACACGACATCACATCACTTTCATGAGTGTCCCCCGGCACCACCGGCTCTCTTTCAACGACGCCTTCTGCAAGGAGAAGCAGCCACTGCAATGCCGCTGTTCGCCGACGGGAACCTGCCAGAGCAGTCTGAGACAAAGGGCTGCTGGAAGACTCGCGTTCCAAGGCTCGCGCATGAACCCACAGCTTGGGAGGGACTTCGTCGCCGAAGGCGGCTGCATCATCCGGCTCCATACAGGTGGGAAGCTTGACACCAAGTCTTCGAAAAGCCAAGAGAACTGAGAACTCTGAGTACTGCCGGCTTGAGATGATTTCAGCATTGACTCATACCCTGTCACACTCTACCTCAATGCGAAAAATTTGAGTGTGGAACTTTCTCGCGACATGATTTCTTCGGATAGTCGGTCTCTGGAAGCATGAAACCTTGATACAATAATATTTCATGCGAACAACATCCACCGATGCCGTGAAGCGTGTGTCTTGGTGAAATCATGACGGTGTGTGTCGAAGTCCCCGCAGTAGTCGTCCCTCCTCTGCTCGTCGTCGTCGTCGTCGCCGGTGTCGTAGCAGTAGTTCAGTAGTAGTAGTAGGAGGCGGAGTAGTAGCAGTAGTAGTAGTAGTAGTAGTAGTAGTAGTAGCATCAGTAGTAGTCGTCGAAGAAGGAGAAGGAGGAGCTTGTCCTTCTTGTTGTCGTTGTTGTCGTTGTTGT